TTCCAACTGGACCAATAAACAACATCATGATAAACAGAGAAAAAATCGAAGTTGGCAAGTATTTCATATTACTTAGATATACAATCAATGCCCATGGAAGCAGCAGCCAAGAAATTAAACAACGTATGGCATGTGACAAATCAGCTTCAAAGACTTCTTTAAAGGGTTCTAAAGCAAAACTGTCAATTTCAAGACTAAGGTGAGCCTGACTCAAACTATGGTACCTTCAGTTGTCACATATGTATGTGAAAGCAATAAAATGACCAAGGAAGGCAGAAGAAAAATTGATGTTTTTGGATTATGATGTTGGTGAAGAATACTGCCACAAGAGCAAACAAATCAGTCTTAGGAGTATAGCCAGACTGCTGCCTGGAAGTGAGAATGGCCAGATTTTGTCTCAGGTACTTTGGACATGTTTTTAGGCAAGACCAGTCCCTGGAGAAGGATATCTTGCTTTGAAAAGTAGAACGTCAGTTAAAAAGACCCTCAATGAGATGGATTGACACAGTGCCTGCAATAATGGACTCAAGCATAGTAACAATTGTGAGGATGGTGAGGGACTGGACAGTGTTTCTCTCTTGTCCATAGGGTCACTATGAGCGGGAACCTACTAGTCAGCACCTAACAATATCAACAACAAAACTTTATTTATTCTGCTTCTTGTCCTTCCACTCTTACTAGACAACAGGCATTTTGTCTGTGTGTTGCTATTCTATGAACAGTATCTAAATCAATGAGTGATAAATAGTAGCTGGTCAGTACATATCTGTTAAGTACATAAGTGAATGAACCATGAAACTGATTTTTTTTCCTTCTGAGTGTCTAAGACCAGTCTTCAGTTCTCTGGAAAAACCCTCTAAAACGGCAGCCTGAAAACCCGGCTTTATAGCCCTTTGTGAGTGTTACTTGCCTTCTCTATTTCTGTCCTCCCATAAGTAAAATGAGATAATAACCACACATGGTTTTAGGACTAAAAACAACTAAAATTCATGTTGTGAATGTATTTTACAGGTTTCAAAGTTGTCACAAGACAATTTATACATAGTTTCATATAACTAGTCAGTGGAAACGTGCTAACAAAACTACTCATCCCTGCCCTCTAAATTTTCATTCTTGTTTTCCATTACTGACAGGAAACTTTCAATCTAGTGAAAGGATAGATTCAGTGAGATGGAAACTTGCAATGCATTTCTTCACTTTATTTGTATTGCTGTTTTTTGCCATTGAGTCAATTCCAGTGCATAGTGATACAACAGAACAGAGTAGAACTGGCTTATACAGTTTCCTAGGCTGTAAACTTTGTGATAGTGCCATGATCTTAGTTATGAAGTCATTGTGATGAAATCATAGTTCATTTCTTTACATCTGAACACTGCCAAGCCATCCAAACCAAACCTATTGCCATAGAACCTATCATCTTAAATATTGAGTTAGAATGACAGTTACACAGCACTAAAATTTAACACAGTTATTACTTATTATGGAACCTGGACTGGATCTACCTTCACCTCACCACATGTGTTTATGATAATGAGCTAACATCCAATCCCAGAAACACTGATAGAAAAATGTTTAATGCTCCTGCAAGATTGAAAAAAAAAAAAAA